CTGATATCAATCCGTGATCAACTCGTAAAAAATTCATTTGAGGAAAATCAGTACTTCTACCTAACAGTCTATGTAACAGAAACCGTAAGAATAAATTATCTATTCTACTAACGATAGGATTCAGATTTGGCTGTATACACACAGGGGAATATTTGCAACAATCCCACTGAAATAGAAGACTGACAAAACGCTAGAAAATGAAATTATGATTGTTAGTCATTGCTTTTAGACTTAAAGCATGCACAGAGGCCCACAGAGGGATTGTTCTGATGGTCGAACGTATGCTTAAAGTATTCTACTTGCACAGTAGATAAATTATTTGATATATATATATATATATATATATATATATATATATATATATATATCACGCCCGAGTCTATATTTTATTATTGTTTTCAACCGAAAGAACTACCCCATCGATTTCCTTTAGACTAACAAGACTTTTTCCTGGTATCGAATCAGTCCCTAAAACATTTGTTTTGACAAGGTCATAGCTATTAGTAAATCTATAATATATTTTTCTGTTTAATAATGACATTCATTATAAATTATTTAAATTAATCCCAGTGTGTTAAGAAAATCAAAACAAGATTTTTCTGAACGTTTCGCCGTGTAAGCCACAGCTTCTTCATCAGATTTATTATGATATTGGTTATCCCCGATGAACACAATTCAAGCAGCTCACATACGGCAGCGTGAGATTCGAGTACGACACTTCCCTCACAGCTATACATTGCCACAATAGCCTTCGACTGACTAATACTATGGATAGGACTACTTCACTTATGTTGAAAGAAAGGCTACTCCTAGTTTTCTGTTGAAAGCACTCGAAAGGAAAAGTTTCTTTGACAAAAGGATTTTAAAAATAAGAGTAAATGAATGAGCAGAAAGATTTACATATAAGTGACTCTTTTTGACTTCCTTTGCAAGAAGTTATTAAATCAGAATTACTTAGAATTCAGGGCTAAATCCCAAGTTTTGATTATTAAGCAGTGAAGATATACAGAGAGTTGAAAAATCAACTGTTCTGAATGCTTTCCCGCCAAAAACAACAACAACTAAAAACAGTTGATAACATAATGACATATAATAAACAAATCAGTTCACGTTTGTGTTGAAAAAAAGGTGTTAAGCCACACTAGTGTACTTCTCTGATGCTATTGAAAATATTTTCCACTGAATACTAAGTAAAAAAAAACCATACAGTACACAAAAATATACTTGTGCGCCAACTGATTAACTAGTCTGAAGACTGATCTGGACTTCTAACTAGTGTTATCCTCGCGTCTCGAGAAACAATCCACTAGATTATGAACCGCCTACGAATAAGTTAAAAGGTTTCTTTGAAATTAAGTTATGCGTAATTCATCTCCCTCCACGTAGAATGTTGACATGAATTTCACAATTGAAGCAGAATCTTTAAAACAAAACCTGCTGACTTGTCGTCCTCTACTATTAAGGGTATTGATCAAACATGCGCTACTTCATGCCGGCCATGTTAAAAAAACAATTTTCACGAAATCCGTATACATTTAGTTCCGCATGTTTCTCGTTGCGTCTGAAAAATGTATGAAGTAAGACAGTTGATGAAAATAATATATATATATATACAAGTGGTTGCATAAAACCCTTATGAGCCAAATAGTAATTTGTCATTTGGTTTCACATAGATCTATGTTTCCCAGAATTTAGTAGCTGTGAGAGTTGAGCAAAAAGTAAACCACTGTAATTTGGCTTATGATGATAAGAACCTCAGTAATTTTAGAAAATAAGAGGACGAAAACTTATTTTCATTACATGCACACCCTACTAAATTTACTGGATAAAGTTTATGTTAATTGCATTCATTGTATTTTATTTAATAGGCCTTCAAATTTACACGGTTACTGTTAACCCACAGGTGCTTGGATCAACTGGATAAGGTTACTTGGATAGTGTTATTAGAAGACGGAGATTATCTGAAAAATGTGTGATGTATTTGCACTATACATTTCGAACAATCTGATCACACATTTACTTGTCAAGTCGATACATATGAAAAAGCTAAATTAAACAAAGTGACAAAAATAAGATTTAAGAATGATTAACGCAACGTTTGGTAATCCAATCAAATAAGGATTACCAAGGTAAGTTAAGAGTAATAATAAACTGTTTTTGAATACACAAGGGTGCTTAAGTTTATGAATAACTATAGCCTCAGCGTATTTCAATAAGAGTCGTTGACCACTTTTCGAAATGACCTTAAAGGCTGAGTTAACATCAATCTTGTGGTTCATCTGGATTAGGTGTTTAGCTATGGACGAAGTTGGTTTCTCGAAATTCATTCGTTTTTCTAGCCATTTTGGGATATGTTCTCCCACCGTCACATGCGGAGCGCGATTACTCTTCCCTATGAATGTGTGTCTACACACACACACGATAATTGGTAAATAGTGTGGGATGTGACATAATCACTTGTGCACATTTGAGGTTTGCAGTGGAGCATGTTTTTAGCTTTTTCGAGAACTACAAGCTGGGCTGCATAATAGGTTCTACGGATGATCGAATTCAACCTTTGTCTCAAAATCCTACTGTTTATTCCCCCGTTATATGGTAACTTGATGAAAACATTTTTCTTAGGGGCGGTCTAGATTGTAGGTTTAGAAACTAATTGACTTCTACATCTGTTTAGAAATTTTAAGGGATATCCGTTTTCAACAAGAGTGTCCATCAATATTTCGTTTTCGTAAATTCTTCTCTGTCACTTTGTTCAATTTAACTTTTTCACATATATCGACTTAACAAGTAAATGTGTGATCAGATTGTTCGAAATGTATAGCGCAAATACATCACACATTTTTCAGATAATCTCCGTCTTTTAATAACGCTATCCAAATTTATAAAAGGGACTAATTGTTTTAAATTTTGGAAAAGATTATATTTAATACGCGAATACTTAAGAAAACAAAATATATTTTATCTATACGCAGTATTTTAACAGTTTTAACTGCTTGAAGACAGCTATGATAAATTTCAAAAGACTGCTTAGCGAATATAAATAATATCCTTTCTGATAACTTCATGGGGTTCTACAGTCATATATCCGTAATGGTTAGGGCATTGGTTGGTTGACTTTGTTGATTTGATTTGACATTTGACAGTTTAGTATTGTTGTATTTACGGATATTATAAGATATACATATTTATGAAACGGACAGACAAATGAGTGGGTTTCACCACTTTTGTGTTTTAATTATACTACATCTTCAATGATACGAACTATACTTATGCTAGGTTGTTGTGTTTCAATAACATGGGTTATTTCGGTTGCACTATTGTTCACTAGTAATAGAGCATATAATAACAGCGCACATATGTGGTACCAAAATTACTTGGTAAGTAGTTACTTAAGACCCGCCATTTAAATATATGTATATATATATGCATAAATAAATAGCGTTTATACAAAAAGCCTGATTTACTAAGGTGGAAAAACTAAACACATATTTCAGCTGCATTTAAAAACTTTGCGTATAGCCAAAAATGAGAAATCTGTAGTAGTTTAGCAAATAAAAATGGCGGCTACTTGAGTCTTAAGTGAAATCTTATACTACATTGCATAAAACAAACACAAGAAATATTAACTTAGCAAGCTCCACTAACGTGTACATAGAGTTTATAAATATAAGTATGTTCATTTATTTGAAGACGCTCGTTAAAAATTTTAAAAGACAGTCTTGTGGACAAAGAATATGCTTTTTTATAACTTCTTCATCAGGTACTGCGTTCAAATTATCCATAATAGTTAAATAATTATTGTTGTCTTCCTTGGTTTATCTGATATTTAGTTTAGTACTGTATTTATGGATATTATAGCATAATCATGTTTTGAACTGTAGCATATTGGTTTTATTGATTCTATGTTATTTAAAACATTAGTATTGTCAAGAACATTTCTTTAGCCACTACTGGTACATACCTGTGGAACCTGATTAAGAAGTTATGGAAAAGAATATTCTTTGTTCACCAGTCAGTTTTAGGTAATTTGCATTAAGTGCACTAAAACCCGCTTAAATGATACGTGCATAAAGTTAAAAGAATTTACAATTCATAAGTGTTCCAGAAACAACGTCTGCTCCCAATAAAAAGACGTTCTGCTTTTACTGTCATTATATAAGCAAATCTATAACGTTTATCACAGTTGATGCGACTAATCCCCGTGTGTAAAGTTCCACGCGAAGAGCTACAGATTTACTGGATATTACTTAAGTCATGTAGAAAAATAAAATGAAAATGTGTCTTCAGCTAGAAAAGGCTAACCATCTGAACTCAAGATGTCATAAAATAAACATATGTACAAATACTCCACAAGCACTTATTCATTGGAAGAAACCACAAGTAAATAAGTATAAAATAATCTGTTAAAGACTTGACCAACTGATGAAAGGTGCCAGTGGTTTTTTACTACCATGACTAAATAGACATTTAAGAGGTGATCTTCTATAGAACTGTCCACTTTCATTTTATGCTATCTTACGGCACCCATTTTAAAGGGACAGATTAGTGCTTACAAAAATGGAATTCTGTATATCTCTGTAAATAAAATGATGAAAGTTATGCATTCCAAACAAGGCGCTATACCGGATTAACATCTAACTAATGGAATTATCACATAATTTTAGTTAGAAAACTTAATAGGCAAATAGTGAGTGATACTAATAGCAGACTAACAGACTCAACACAATACTAAACAGATTTCCCATTCTACTGGTTTTTAAAACAAAGACAAATTAGCAGTGATTGAAAATTAGGGTAATATGTTTCTGAAAAGCAGTGAAAACACTGACAAAAGTATATCAATAAGAATACTAACCACCTCCGAAGGTCATATTACCAGTGTCTAAAATGATGGAGTAAGATCGTTGCCTTTAATTAGAAAAGACTGAAATCTTATATGAAAACATAAATAATTTACGCTAACTTCGTTAAATCGCCACAGTTAAGAATCAACTACTTACAACTCTTTGGTCCTTGGAAAAGGCCAGTGTCATAAATCCTGTAGATTTTTGGACATTTCCTCTTAGTTCAAATTCCACATAGTTCTCAGAATTCACAGACACCAACTTCCAAGTAACAAGAAATGCACATGACGACTCTGTGCACATGGCAGGTCTAAGACAACCCTTTGTTACGGCACATTCTTCTAATGTGATGTCAGGAAAAATATCACTGGCGAGATTTCCTGATGGTGCCAGAAAAACTAACAGAAAATGCCACCAAAACATCGCACCACAACGATCACCGTCAACTAGTGCGCCTTATCAAGGATAAACTGTTATTTACTCAAGTGTTAACATCAAACAAACCTTCACTTTCATAAACTAAAGAAAATAAACAATCAGGTTCGTCCGAATTTCTACTTTGTATATTGTTTCTACTTTTCCCTGAATTTGTTAAATTGCATAAATTACTAATCCTGGTAATACGAACGGTTACGAAGCACTCCAAAGAGAGTGAGCATTAGGTAAGAAAGTAAATCATCCGTAATCAAAAACACTACAGAAAAGATCGCTAGTGCATAGTAAGCGACCAAGAACAAAGGTATTCCAATGGTTTTTTTAATTCCTGATCCCTACCTTGTAGATTTTCCGTTAATGCGATGAGCTTCTACCTTATGACTCCCCTTGTGCTTCCTCTAACATTTACTTGCATTGGTTACGTTCACTTTTGTCTTAAGGTGAATTGAACCGGGAATAGCACAGCCAAACTATTTCTAATATATGGTCTTCACAAGACAGCTCTCACCGTTCACTCAGAGGCAGTAAGCGATGTTCATATTCGGAAGCACAGAATGGGTAAGCCAGTAGGAACTATGCCTGTCTTAAGACTTGAAAAGTTATTTCCCTTCATTGAAGGGTATCAGATGGTGAGTGCCCTTTCATGTTGTTGGTTACGTCAGTCCGGCTGCGAAATATACTTTCGAAATTGGGTTCTGTATTTTAATATTGTACGCCCTACTGGCTAACGACTTCGATAATTATTTTGAAACATATGTTGGTTGATGAATGGGTGAACCTAATTTTTGTATGATAAACCTTCAATTTCATCATAGTAACTGTACACTAAGTAAATTTTGGTGTTTTTCGGTTTTGAGTTCCTTCAATTTACACACACTTTTTAGCTTGATTTTCGTCCGCAACGATGTCTCATTTACAAACCAGATAATCTAATTTTATAAACAACTTCTACTGAACTAGATGCTTCAGTATCCAAGGCAGATAATCTGAAGTGATCTAAAACTGTGGTTTGAAAAACTATAGTATAGCCTCTATTGACATGGCATGAAGTATGAGAACATCATGTTTAAGGGCTTTTGTTCTGACTTACATTAACCCGCTAGCAAGGGCATGGAGACTCAAAGTCACTTCTCACGAGATCAGTCTTACTGTATTCTTAAGCACAAAGCAACAAGATACCTCTAGGTATATAAAAACCAGGGTCTTACACATGTTTCAGATGCGGACCATGTGTGATAGATTGCCCCCCCCCATTTGCATCAGCTAGTAGGAAACAGCAGAGAGTAGCTGCACTAATGCAAGACCAGTTGCAAGGCCTCCAGGAGCGCATGCGACATTCATTGGTTCCACTGTTGAGCTGTTAGCATGCATCGTAGAATGAACAGTGGAGGGAGGACACCTCAGAGAAATTCCAGCTGAGCCATATTTCCATGGAGGACAGCCAGATACTCTCAGCACTTGTTGCAAAATTTAGGTCACTAACGGAAACGCTGCCACACATGCAGCCATTATATATTATTCGAGAAGATGACATGACGAACAGCGCTTCAGGCAGCAGATAAATCAGATTCACGGAACAATACCACCGGCATCACTAGCCAATTTATCCCACAATCGAAGGGGTGTAGCCATGCGCCTGGCCTCAACCACCCAACAAACAGCACGAAATCTGTTACCACAGCCTCAGACAGTGACGTTTAAGAACGCATGCCCGGACAGCCACTCTGGCATAAACTTCTAGGTCTAAATACAGGCTGCACTGAATACCATACCGAAAACGACCTGCTACGCTGCAGGCCAACAACTAACTTCCATTTCTGAAAGCAGAGGAAAAGGCAAGTGAAGTAGGGAATATCAAGTCAGACAAATGGAATGGCATTCATCATTTGATAGACAATGAAATCCGTAGAAATCAGAATGAACATGTAGTTCCTCGTTTTCGGCTCGCTGATTCCGAATTTCTCAGTTACTTAGTTCCTGTGAGTGGCTTCACCTCTGCACATGTTCAGTTAGAGAAGCCAAACCAACTGGCGTCACCGTGGAGATAACAGAGACCTAGACAAGCCCACTGCCCCTCAAAGACACCTGGCAGCCCACATTCAGAACTTTACTAACAATCTACGCGATGTCGTAGTGTTAATTAAGATGGACCTAAGTCACGTCTACCATAAAATTCCAGATGCTGGGGAAGACATTGGCTACTGCCCCATCAGGCACTGTTCACTACTTACTTCTTCCAGCCATCTCTGAAATCTCGAATTTTTCAGTTCCTATCGGCATTTTACACCTGACTGTGCGCTGAAGATGAAACTCCTGGCAGATGAATTATGGCGAAAACCAATGAGTGATGAAGACATAAAGCGAATCGTCACGGCAAATAACTGTGGTGGCACACTCACATTTATATTTGGGTTCATTTTGAGGTCCATTCTGGAAATGCCATTTCCTAACGTTTCAGCATAGACAGTGACAAAAGTCTTTCTCCGACGCTACGTAGCCATGTTCTATGTGGCCACAGAAATAACCCCTAGCGCAAGAAACCAATCATTTCAATGCTTGCCATTAACTTGTCGAAGTTTCTGTAATCACACAGAATCCATCCCTCAAGCACATTGGGTGTTAAAACACCCTCATAAACAAATGACAGCTGAGCTGACATCTCAGTCTGACTCGTCACTCTGGATGGAGTTCCTCTAAAAGTCGATGCTCAGCATCCGAACATCAACCAAACCTAACTCCCAAACCTCAACAACACAAATGGCATTCGAAGCCACTCTAGTGAGTTTATCCGCCCTAGTTCTCAGGAAAAAAGGCTTGACCATACAACATAAATCCATGGTTCTTGGGTGCATATGGTTGAAAAGGGTTACTTCCTCACGAGAGCAATCCATAAAGGTATACACATGCATGCCTAAGGACTTAGATCCTTGCGCACACTAATGGATGAGACGTAGTGAAACAACTCCGCGCACAATAATAAGGATTTATCAGAGTCTGTGCAACGCCTAGTAACTCAGCAAGGCGACGCCCCGGATGGTGTTAGTATCGATAACCTGAAACCTCCCCATCTAGACGGTGACCATCTTACACAGTTATATAAAGGCTCCTGTCAAGTGAATAGATCAGACCAACTACTTTTTTCACTGTTGTTGGAAGATATAATAGGCACTTAACTACCAAACGGACTTCAGTGGATAGACAATAAAAGACAGGCGGGAACGTTTGTCCAGTGTCGACGAGATAGCTAGTACTGAGCTGCGTATCGAATCTAACAAAGCGTTTAAAGTTATCGTATATCACTCAACCTCTTGAATGGTCTACGAGTATGACTTTTACATACAGCAAAGGCAATCAGAATTCATTTGAATAAGCCAAATCTGTGTGTTCAACAGAAATTTGTACAGCCCCTACATAATATGTATAAAGTTTTTAAAACCAGTCTTTCCCATCTCCCTGCAACTATCTTTTGATTTTGTTAATTTTTTACAATTCTAGCTAATTCTGTTGACTTGTTTGAAATTAACGGAACTCCTCTGAGTCATCCTATTCTTCTTACTCATCATTGCTATTTTACAAATTTCTTGACTAAGTAATAGCTTTTTGTCAACGTCTAAGAATCAGCTTATCTTGAATTTCATTATTAATTTTCTACCCTCTTTTAAAACTTAGACATCTTGTTACTAATACCCATTAGTTATTTGTTTTGATGAAATGTAACCTCTTAATTTTAACCCCCCTACACCTAAAGTTGATTAACCAAAATAGCCACTTGATTGATAAATAATTGATGTAAAAACCATGTATTAGCTTACAGCCAATGATGAGGAAATAATTCGAAAGGAATATGTTTATTCGATAAATTTGTTTTTATACTAAGTGGTAAAAATGGGAATTCGGAATTAAACAGTTATGTATTTCCAATAATTTCTCTTCAGGTTCTTACAATTATAAAATATAATATTTGTGGTCGTTACAATAAAGATAGCCATGAGTTATGTATTTGTCAAGGAAATTACCCCTATGTTCCTATTGTTACGAAGACGCTCCACACCAATAAATACTATGTACTTTCTTCGAATTTAACTCCAAAACACTAGTATTGTAAGAAGGAAGTTATATTGTTCGACAATTAAAACGGAGAACAGTAAAAGTCTATAAACAAATATTTCAGGCAAAATTATGAAGTAATTTTATTCGTTTTTGGTTGTCCTCGCCGAACTTGTACACGATCGAACCATTCGCGCCTTCGAGTTGCCCAACAATGGCTACCAGTTCCAAAAACAAACGTTGAATTTTCACCTCCATTGACGGGTTTTTATTTTTGATTACGGCTTGATTCCACACTGTGTTCTTGGTACAAGTATGGAATTTTCAGCATGAATATCGGTAGCCCGAATTTCGCAGGCCGACCATAGATATCAGGTGTGCGTCGGGGGATGGAACCTCGGACTATGTGCATGCCAACACAGAATCCTACTGAGACACTGTAATTTGAGGTGGTAAGCGATAAACTCATCTGAACATTATCATCATACGGATAAGTGAGATTTGAAGTGCACCTATCGAGATATTTCGATTATTGTTTACATTTTCGGATTTGTTGATTCTCTACTCTTACGGGGCGGGTTATTCGTCGGTATGAAGATAATATTTGACCGCTGTCATCCAGAATGTGCCGCAAAGAAGTTATGGCGCCTTTCACAAGGCACCAGCAAGGTCAAGTGCTAGAAAAATTTCCGGATGTCGTTAGATTCTTACTGTAGTTCACCAAATATATACACTGTATTATCATTCGGAAAGTGAAACACAAGCTCGAATGTCGAGAAAAAGAAGACAGATCACAACAGCTCTCGAAAGAGCTCAAATCCTCAAGTAGTGATGTGTAAATCTATGCATGTACGTATTATGTAAAAGAACTATGATTTCTACTGACTCGCTAACTAGTTCACCTCAGAGTAATATACATCGGCACTTCCATCAATATTTCTCCGCTTTCCTGCCAGATAGGAACTATCAAAGCCGCGGTACAGATTATCGCGCCAAAACAAAGTGAAGCTGAC